TCCTTCCTTCCTTCCTTCCTTCCTTCCATCTTCCCTCCTTCCCTCCTTCCTTCCTTCTCCCTCCCTCCCTCCTCCTCCTCTCTCCTTCCATTTTCCTTCCTCCCTCCCTCCCCTTCCCTTCCCTTCCCTTCCCTTCCTTTCCTTTTTTTTCTTTTTTCCTCTTCTCCTTTTTTCCTCCCTCCCTCCGTCCTTCCTTCCTTCTTCCTGACCTGATTTTGAAAGTACACAGGAGACACAGATGTGCACATTTTTAAAGACTGTAGGTTTTTTCTCCTTTTCTCTTTTGTTTAATCAGAGGTATTGGGGGGGGGGTGTTTAAAAAAAGTCAAGGTGGCGGCCCAAACTGTGTGAATGAAGCCCTGCCTCTTTTTTATTGTGAGGTCCGTTCAGCACATTTTAAGTGTCATGTTCATTTATTGAAAGTATTTTCATATTGCCTCTCCTTGCAAGGCATTTAGAAATCTACTGAAATGATTTAAAGCCTGAATTTAACAGCAAGAGAAGACCCCTTTTTCAGGAATGTCCTGCTCTGTAATGTAGCCCTTCTATCTTACCCGGGTCTCTCAAACCACTTTTTCTCTCTCTTGCAGAGACCAGCTTCACAACGCCTACTTAAAAGTAAGCCAGCACTTGAATTACCTGCAGTCTAAATTGCCTCCCGAGGTTACAAAAACATATGATCTGGCAGTCGAGGTGTCTATGGGCTTGGTGGAGAAAGGTATTAATATCTTAAACAGCTTGAAGAGACAAATGATGCCAGTCACAGACAAGGTGGCTGAATCTCTGTACGCCATTCTGGCTCCCTTTGCAGACTCGGTCCTGGGAAAGGTGGGTCCCTGCACAGAGGCCCTGCATCGTGTCCTTGCCATGGGAGCTAAAGGACTGAACCCCAGGGTGACTGAGAAGCTAAAGAAGCAACTGGAAAAGGTGGCCAAAGAGTTGGCTCCGTTAGTCCAAACCCTCCAGGATCAACTGGAAGAATTCCAGACTTCCTTAGAACCTTGTACTGGCAATATCCAGGAGATGCTTAAGGAAAGCATAGAGAGGGCCAACCAGCAGTTGCCGCCATACGTTTCTCTAATTCTTTACGGCCTTGAAAACTACGCCAAAATATTTAACAGGTGGCTTGACTCCTCAAATCTGCAAGCAAAGGAGAGTATAAACTGGGCTGAACCCTTCCAAGAGATCGATGAATAGTAAACCATGTGCATATGACCGTTTCAATCAGGGCTGTTTGTAATTCCCCACTTCTTCCGGTCATACAATAAAGGAATTCTTTCCAGCAATGACAAGGTGGTGCTTGGGTTACATAAGTCATGTTTCTTATTCCCTGATGACAACTACTACTGAGTAGTGAAAGAGACACCTAAACAAACCAGAGTAGCAAGAGACAACAGGGCAGTTTTCCTCAACCGGATGCCTCCTCCCAGTTGTGTGAGGATCACAACTCCCAGAATTCTCAGTTAGTTGTAACCCAAATACTTCTGAAGGACATCGCCTTGGAAAAGATTGTTCTATACTGAACTACTCACAAAAATACACAGGCTAACTCTGTCTTCTTCAGACAGCTGTATATAGTTCTAACAGAAGGTTCTTGGACTTTGCCAATAAATGCATAGAGGCAGATGGATAAATGATAGATAGATAGATAGATAGATAGATAGATAGATAGATAGATAGATAGA